AGATTCATCTCCGATGGCTGTTCGCGCTGGGCCTCGGGGGGGTCGTTTCGTCTGTCTGTCGTCGCGCATGCGGCCGGCGGTGCACGGAAGATTTGCGCGTCAGAATTCAGTCTTTGCCGACCCTCGAGGCGACAAGATTCCGGGAAGTGCGTTTCCTGCGCGATGCATTTTCCGGAGCTCTCGATCCCGAAACGGACTGTCCAGTGATGCCGCAGCTTGCCGTGCTGGCCTCGGTCAGTTCTCTTCGTTCGGCTCGCCATGCCTTGCGCGTGTCGGCGAGAGAAAGCGATAGCATGTGCTTGCCGGGCCAGGCACGTGGCCGCAGGTCATTGTCCACTAGGGCCAAGTACGCCGTGGCGCCATGTAATCAGGAAAGTGGGACGTCCGTCTTGGCTCCAGGATTCCAGGATCTGCCGTTCGATCTCGGGAGGGGCGATGCGCCCGGCAGAACCCGCTGATTTCCAGCAGCGCGCAGCGGCGGCGTCGGCGGCTCTACGCCTTGCGAGGCGGTCGAGGGCTGCAAGCCTTCGGACCCCATCGCTGGCTTCCCAGTCGGCGGGCAGCTGGCGTGCGCCACTCCCACCCCTGGTGTGAAGCCCCGTGCAGGGCCAGCCGTCCGCGGTGTCCTGGGAGTGTCTGTATTCGGGCGCCCATGCCGCGCTCGCTGCCGCGGGTTGAAGTTCCTTGGAAGATATCCGGGGTGATGACCCCAGCGAGTTTGTGCGACGTGTCGCTGCATCTCCATTGCTGGTGAAGTTTCGGCCTTGGCTGCTGCTGATGAAGGGTCGCGCCGATGCAAATGTTCTGAAGAACCTTGCATCGGCTATCTTGTTGGCGCAAGCCGCGCCAGACGCCGTGTGTGACGCTATCGGGGCCAATCCGGGCAAGCGCCGGAGGACGAGTGTGAACGCTCCTCCGCGGGAGCAGCTTGACATGCTACGCTCTGCCCAACAGGAGGGCTTCGATGTTCATGCCATTGTTGACGTACTGATGCTCAGGAAGTTCGGGGCTTCTGCAGGCAGCTCGTTTACTAGATACATGTCTTCCGCAAAGACGGTTCAGGCCTTTTTGTGAGCTCTTGAACTTACAACTCTTGCCGACGAGTCCAGCGACACTGTCCAGATTTGCGGCACTCATAACCCATGAAGGGACAGTCAAATCGATTAAACCTGCTTGGCGGAGATTCCGTCATTTGGCAGGGCCCCATTGGCCCGTGGAGCACTCCCCGGTGTTAGCGGACGTCAGAACTGGCGCGCGGAAGCTGCAGCCGCCAGCGGCCCCGAGGCCGCGAATCAGAAAAGATCTGTTGAAGAAGCTCTTGGCCCACTGTGCTGACACTGGGAGTTTCTTCCGTGGCACGGGCTAGATGTTTGCGCACGCCTTCTTGCTCAGAGTCCCGTCGGAACTCCCAGGACAGTTGAGGCCATGTTTCCTGTGTGTGGATAGGGGAACGGTGCGTTTCGGCCCCATCAGACGTAAAGGCCAATGTCATGCGCAGTCCACTCTTCAAGCCGCGTGCGTCTGCGCCGCCGACCCTCTGCTATGTGTGCACATGTGGGCCTCATGGCTACTCGCAGGCCGTCGTGACATGAACGCAGAAGTGTACCCGCCTGGGTACTACGCCAAGTTCCTCGCCAACCTCCGCGAGGACTTGGTGGCCGTAGGCACGCCGGCGGCAGAGGCATTGGGAATTGTTTCCCATGCCTTCCGCCACGGCGCTGCGATGGACATACACGGCACAGACGGGTTCGCAGCTGCTTGCGCCCGCGGGGGCTGGCGAAGTGGGGCAGTTACAGTTTATATACCCCCTGCTGCTATTGAGTCGCGAGTCCTGGCCGAAGCGCTTTGCGCAGCTTCTGATGATGAGGGTTCCTAACCTGTTCTCCCGTTTTCCATTGGTTTCCATTGGTGGCACCTTCCTGAGGTGTGCACCAACGGAGAAGAGTAGAAACAGGTGAGGGAGGCAAGGAACCAACTGCTGGCGTCTCTCTGACTCTTCAGTTGGCTCCTCCCCTCAGCACCCGCGCGCCGCGCAGTACTCGGCTCTGGCGCGGCAAGCTTGCCCGCCAGCCCGGCCCTGACGATGTCTGCGGTGGTGGCACCTTCCTGAGGTGTGCGCCAACGGAAAACAATAGAAACAGGTGAGGGAGGCAGGGGACCAACTCCTCCTCCTCCTCCTCCTCCTCCTCCTCTCCTCTCCTCCTCCTCCCTCCTCCTCCTCCTCCTTCCTCCTCCTCCTCCTCCTACTCCTCCTCCTCCTCCTCCTCCTCCTCCTCCTCCTCCTCTCCTCCTCCTCCCTCCTCCTCCTCCTCCTCCTCCTCCTCCTCCTCCTCCTCCTCCTCCTCCTCCTCCTCCTCCTCCTCCTCCTCCTCCTCCTCCTCCTCCTCCTCCCTCCTCCTCCTCCTCCTCCTCCTCCTCCTCCTCCTCCCTGCTTCCTCGATTGTTGAGTCTTGTATTTGTTGAACGATTACTAGTGGCCTCTCGGCCGAGCAAAAAGGTGGGCGGCAAGGCCCCTGACTCGTGACGCACGGCCATGAGGGCCCCAAGGCGGCCTCCAAGAGGCCTCCCAGACGGCCAGGTCCCAAGACGCCTCGAAGACGGCCAAGACGGCCTCACGACAGCGCGAGATGCCCGCCAGACGGCACAGAGGCCCCCAACACGCCCCAGGAGAACTCCAAGAGGACCTCCCGGAGGCCAGCATAATTGATGTTCCATGTGTTGTTCAATGAGTTGTGCGGTCGGGCTTCTGACACTCCAAGACGGCCCCATACGCCACCAAGATCGCCCCAAGACGGCCCAAGAGGCACCCAAGAGGCCCGCAAGACGGTCCGAGAGGGCCCCAAGACGGCCCCATAGACCTCCAAGATGGCCCTAAAACACCCAAAGAGAACTGCCCAGAGAGGACCCCGAGATGGCCTCCCAAGGACAAGAGAGGCCCACACATGCTCCCAAGAGGTCCACAACAGGCCCCAAGACGGCCCGAAAGAGCCCCCCAGGGGCCCATCATAGGCCCCGGCCCAAAGAGGCGCCCGAGAGGCCCCCTGGAGGCCCGAAAGAGGACCCCAAGAGGCCCCTCCAACGCCCCTCAGAGACCCCCAAGAGTCTCCCAGGAAACCAGGACACCCCCCCCAGAAAGCCACACGACAGTATCACGAGGCCTCCTTACTCCTCCTCCTCCTCCTCCTCCTCCTCCTCCTCCTCCTCCTCCTCCTCCTCCTCCTCCTCCTCCTCCTCCTCCTCCTCCTCCTCCTGCTCCTACTCCTCCTCCTCCGGCTCCTCCTCCTCTGGCTCATCGGGCTTCTCCAGCTCCTCTGGCTCCAGTCCTTTCCCTTATAAATTCGCCGACCCAACGGGCCAGAGGCGTGCTAAGATCTCCGGTAACTGGTGAACCATATTTCTAATTCGCGCGCGCGGAGCGGCCCCTGGGGGCCCCCGGACGAAAAGTACCCCAGCAAGGTCCTGGGAGAAGCCACCAAAGCACTCCTGAAGAGGGCCATTTTTCGACACCTCTCAGGGGGGAGCCGCAATCGACTACCCCCCCTCCCGCCCCAAGAGGCCCCCCAAAGCCCCCCAAAAGGCCCTGGGGGCCCCCAAGACGCCGCCAAGGAGCCCCAAGAGACTCCCAAGAGTTCCCCAAGAGGCCCCCAAGAGGCCCTAAAGAGGGCTCCAGGACCGGCGGAATGAGCGAAGCGATTAAATAACTTCTCCCTGTCGAACCCCGAGACCAGTTTTTAGGGCGGGCCGGGCGTTTCGCCTGAGATGTCTTCACCATTTTTGATTGTGACACTGAAAAAGTGGCAACAGCTTCACATTGCAGGGCTGGTCGTTTTCAAAATGTGGCTCTCGCCTTAGCGCCGCGCACATTCGTTTAACAGAATTTCACGGCTTTCCCGAATTGAGGGCGGGCCGTTTTCAAAATATTGCTCTCACCTTAGCGCCGCGCGCATTCGTTGAAAAAACACAAGAGCTTCGAAGATTGGGAGCGGGTCGTTTTCAAAATGTGGCTCTCGCCTTGGCGCCGCGCACATTCGTTTTAAAAACTTGCAAGAGCTTCACGACGGATTGGGGGCGGGTCGTTTTCAAAATGTGGCTCTCGCCTTAGCGCCGCGGACATTCGTTTGAAAAAAATGCAAGAGTTTCGCGGATTGAGGGCGAGTCCTTTTCAAAATGTGGCTCTCGCCTTAGCGCCGCGCACATTCGCTTTAAAGTTTACAAGAGATTGATGTACTGAGTTTGATGATCAACGTTCCAGAAATGCGTTTTGGAAGGATTCAGGATTATGCGGTGCATCAGTTATGTTGATTCGCGGTGTTGAAATCCAAAAATGGCGCTCTGGCCCGAGAACAATGCTTTGGCATGCTTCAGGATCTTCAAACGGTTGTCTTCCAACGAGGCAGCTCCCTCAATGGAAATGAACCGCTGTAGAGGCCTATGAAGAGGGAGCTTGGAGGGAGGGGAAATTCCAACATCGTTGACGACTCTTGGGTTTACACTGGTCCTCCTCCGCCTCCTCCTCCTTCTCCTCTTCCTCCTCCTCCTCCTCCTCCTCCTCCTCCTCCTCCTCCTCCTCCTCCTCCTCCTCCTCCTCCTCCTCCCCCCTGTCATGCTCATGTCTCTTTCTCTCCCAAGTGTTCCCCAAGGGGTTCCACAATGGCTGGTGGAACACAGTCCAATTGTTTGGCCAAACCTTGGCCCAACGTTTGACAGCGTGGGCGGTTCCAAAAGGCAGAGAGCGGCGGTGGTTCGCCGTACGCCGTAGACATCTTCGATATCATCAGCAGCAACATCGTCGCCATCATCATCGCGTCCTCGAAAGAATACTTTTCCATCTCGTCCTCTGCCTCCTCCCCACCGTAAAACATCCTCCAATCCTTCTCCTCCTCCTCCTCCTTCCCCTCCTCCTCCTCCTCCTGCTCCTGCTCCTCCTCCTCCTCCCACGACGACTACTCTACTCCTACTGCTACCATTCATCCTGCCCCCTCCTCCTCCTCGGCGATCTCCCCGCACGGCTCTGGCGTCCAGCCACCAGCGAGCGCGTGGGTGCCGTTCTGCACCGCGCGGTCCACGCTGCATGCGTTTCTTTCTTCGCGGCGGCCAACGCGGCCCGAGAAAAGGACCATCGAGAAGCTCCAAAGCCTCCAAAACGGAGGCTCGACAGACGGGTCACCTTTCGGGCGCGGCCTGACCGACCGCTGGCAAACCATCCCCTTCCGTGACGTCCTCCTGGCCTTTCGAGCTCTCCTGGCGCCGCATACATCATCTTAGGGCGAGACGAGGGGGACGTAAGGGAAGGGGCTGGTCTGCTAGGGGTCGGTTAGGCCGCCCCTGAGCCTTCCCAAACTAACCCCGAATCCAGGAAACACTGCGCCATACTCGGGGGCGGCCAAGGAGGAGGGCGTCCGAGAGGGGAGGGGCGCAAATCATGGCCGGCGGCACGTGCGCGGCCCAGGGGGGGGGCCAGAGACGTAATGAAATAAGAGAACGCGCCATGAAATCTGAAGAAATACCATGGCCCACGCCATGGTATCCCCCCCTAATCATCACCCCCCTCTTGGCCGCCCCCGACATGCCCGAGAAGGCTTCCGACATGCAACAGAGAGGAGGTGCCGTCCCCGGGACAGGGATCGCTGCAGCGGGGAGTGCGGCGGAAGCCGCTGCACCCTTCACCCTCCGACTCCTATCCCACCCGTCTCCTCCTCCTCCTCCTCCTCCTCCTCCTCCTCCTCCTCCTCCTCCTCGGTCTCGTCCTCATCCTCGGCCTCCCAGTTTTCGGCCCCATTCCATCCCTTACTCCGCTCATGATTGGTATGCGCGAGCTTGGGCGGAGTTGGGTGGGTGAGTCTGAGTGTGAAAACCTGAATATGTGTGAATATGGGCCTGACTGGGTCTAAGTGTGAATGAGAGCGGCCGTGTCTGAGTGTGAGCGGGTCCGAGCATGTGTAGTCTAGAGGGGAAGCAGGTGAAGGTGAGGCGGAGGGAGTACAATAATAGCAAGAAACCCAAATCTCGGATATGGGAAAACTAAGTGACGGATGAACAGAGGAAAGAAAGCGGAATGAAGTAGGACGAAGACAGACATCATCTTGATGAGCGCCGGGAGAAGCAACAAGAGATGGGAGGAATAGAGGCCGGGGGATTGTGGAGTCGCTGTGGGTTTTAGACGAAAATTTACGATATGTCAGTTTGTTCCTCATCATTATGCTGCTGTTTCCTTTCTCGTTTTCTCTCTCTCTCTCTCTCTCTCAATCTCTCCCACTCCCATTCCCATTCCATTCCCATTCCCAATACCATTACCATTACCATTCCCATCCCAATTCCCATTCCCATTCACATTACCGTTACCATTACCATTACCTTTACCTTTATCTTTACCTTTACCTGTACCATTACCATTACCATTACCATTGCCATTACAATTGCCAGTGCCATTACCATTGCCATTACAATTGCCATTATCATTGCCATTGCCATTGCCAGTGCCGTTGCCATTGCCATGGTATTGCCATTGCCAGTAGCCACCCCGTTACCATTACCGTTACCATTACCATTACCATTCCCATTACCATTACCATTCGCCACCACCATTACCATTGCCATTCCCATTACCATTACCAACACAATTGCCATTACCATTACCATTACCGCTGCCATCACCATTACAATTCCCATTCCCATCATCATTGCCATTGCCATTACCGTTACCAGTACCATTTCCATTACCATTGTCATTATCTTTCCCACTACCACTACCATTTCCATTCCCGTTCCCGTTCCAATTACTACTACGATTCCCATTCCCATTCCCATTCCCATTCCCATTACCATTACCATTACCATTACCATGACCATGACCATGACCATGACCATTACCATTGCCATGGCCATTGCTATTGCCATTGCCGTTGCCGTTGCCATTCCCATTACCATTGCCAATCGCTACCCCGTTACCATTGCCATAACCATTACCATTACCGTTATCGTCACCATTACCATTCCCAGTACCATTATCATTACCACTGTCATTGCCATTACCATTACCATTGCCATTGCCATTGCCATTCGCCACTACCATTACCATTGCCATTCGCCACTACCATTACCATTACCATTGCCATTGCCATTGCCCTTCGCCACTACGATTACCGTTGCCAGTACCATTACCATTCCGATTAACATTCCCATTCCCTATACCATTACCATTACCATTACCATTACAACTGCCATTGCCATTACCATTACCATTACCTTTACCTCTACCTTTACATTTACCCTTACCTTACCATTCCCATTTCCGTTACCACTACCACTGCCATTTCCATGCCCGTTCCCATTCCCATTCACATTCCCATTCCCGTTCCCATTCCCATTCACATTACCATTGCCATTACCATTACCATTGCCATTGCCATTGCCATTGCCATGGCCATTACCATTGCCATTGCCACTCCCATTGCCATTGCCATTGCCATTGCCATTACCGTTGCCGTTGCCATTGTCATTGCCATTGCCAGTCGCCACCCCGCTACCACTATCCTTACCGTTACCATTACCAGTACCATTACCATTACCTCTGTCATTACCATTCGCATTGCCATTGCCATTGCCATTAGCCACTACCATTACCATTGCCAGTACCATTTCCATTGCCATTCCCATTATCATGACCATTACCATTACCATTACCATTACCATTATCACTATCATTTCCATTACCATTACCTTTACCTCTACCTTTACCTTTACCCTTACCCTGATCATTCCCATTTCCGTTACCACTGCCACTACCATTTCCATTCCCGTTCCCGTTCCTATTCCCATTCACATTCCCATTCCCGTTCCCATTACCATTACCATTGCCATTATCATTACACTTACCATTGCCATTGCCATGGCCATTATCATTGTCATTGCCATTGCCAATATCATTGCCATTGTCATTACCATTACCGTTGCCATTGTCATTGCCATTGCCAATCGCTACCCCCTTACCATTACCATTACCATTACCAGTACCAGTACCTTTACCTCTGTCATTACCATTACCATTACCATCACCATTGCCATTGCCTTTCGTCACTACCATTACCATTGCCAGTACCATTTCCACTCCCATTCCCATTACCATGATACTACCGCTGCCATTACCATTAGAATTCCCATTCCCGTTCCCATTCCCAATACTATTACAATTTCCAGAACCATTACCATTACCATTACCAGTGCCATTACCATTACCACTACCACTATCATTTCCATTCCCGTTCCCGTTCCCATTCCCACTTCCATTCCCATTACCATTACCATTACCATTACCATTACCACTGCCATTGCCAGTACCATTACCATTACCATTACCATTACCATTACCTTTAACTCTACCTTTAACTCTACCCTTACCATTACCACTGCCATTACCATTACCATTGCCATTGCCATTGTCATTGCCATTCCCATTGCCGTTGCCATTGCCATTACCATTACCATTACCGTTGCCATTGCCATTGTCATTGCCTCGCTACCCCGTTACCACTATCATTACCGTAACCATTACCAGTACCATTACCAATACCATTACCAGTACCATTACCATTGCCATTGCCAGTGCCATTCGAGGGTTTCAATAGGAATCATTCAGTGGAGGGTTTCAGTAGGAATCCACATGTGGAGGATTCCGGTAGGAATCATTCAGTGGAGGGTTTCGATCGGAACCCTTCTGTCGAGGATTTTACTGTGAATCCTTCTTATGGGGGCGTCCAATAGGAATCCTTCTAGGGGGGAGGGCAGATGTGGTCACGTCGCATTCCTTTTTTTTTCTCCTGGCGCCCCCCAGAGAGGTAGCAGGAGGGGGAGAGGGAGGAGGAGGAGGAGAAGGAGGAGGAGGAGGAGGAGGAGGAGGAGGAGGAGGAGGAGGAGGAGGAGGGGGCGGAGGAGGAGGAGGAGGAGGACGGCACAGAGCAGAGTTTGCACAGAAACAGTCGCGAACTCAGCGCGAAACCCTCGCGCGCGCGCTTTTGAACCCCTGCGACTCCACAATCCCCCGCTCTCGAGGAATAACAGAGGAGAAGCGCGCAGCGGACAGAGCCGGTGGCTTTGCGTCTTGATATTCTGTCACGGAGGAAGAGTGAGTGAGAGTGAGTGAGTGAGTGAGCACACCGCAACGCGGACGCGGGATCCGCGGTCCGCACGCGGCCGCCCGCAGGACGCGGGCGCGGCGGCGCGTCATGGCGCGGCGCTGGGCGAGGGGCCCCCCCGACAGGGGGACGTGGGGGGTTCAACTCCTCGCCAAAATGTCGCCCCGCGTGCCGCGGCGGCGGGGCGGGCTGCCAGCGGCCCGCCGCGCGAGCTCTGCGAAGGCGAGCGGCGGCGGCGACGCTGGCGGGCGGCGCGCGAGGACCGCGACGTCGCTCGCAAGGTTTGCCGCGCCCAGCTCGGAGTCGCCAGCCTCGAATTGGCCTCCTGGGCCATCGAGTCATGAGCGACGGGAAGCCGAGAACGCGGGGGGAGCGGCAATGGACGCTTCCGCCCCCCCCCCCCGCCCTCCCCTCGCATGGGGGGCTGGTAGCCCGAAGGCGCCCGCAGGCAGTTGGCCTCTGCGAGGGGCTCCGAGGGGCTCGCGGCGAAGTCCTCCGCGGGGGGGTCCACCATGAGCTCCGCGGTAGCCGCGGCGATCAGCGAGCGCATGAGGTCGGCTCGCAGCGCAGCAAGGCTGGCCTCGTCAAGGCGCGCACCATCGGGCTCCCGAAGTCGAGCGTCACCACCGGGGCTCGACCTCCTCTCGGGAGGGGGGCTGCGCGGCGCCGTGGGCCCAGCAGCGGACGAGGTACCGAAGCTAGGGAAAGCGCACCGCTCCTCGGGCGAGCAGCGCCATGAAGGGCAGCCATGGCAAACCCACCCTCCGCATGGAGCCTCCGCAGCCGTCGACCCGTCCTGCTGAGCACCACTGGCCTGCTCGCTGCCAGCGTCATCCTGACTCTCTCCTGGAGCCCCATCGCAGCGCCCCGCGCACGCCAGACCAGCAGCTCCCATAGCAGCCCAGCTAGCGGCGCCGAGGCCCTCGGCCAGCAGCG